TGCAAGTAAGGAGCATGATTGACAAGTCAAAGCTATTATATTATCTTTGCCTAATAGAGTTGATAAGCAGTTTATCTCCTGCATATTTGCTGCTCCTGTCTAGCAGCACGCTGATTATGGTGGGGAAAGAAGGCAATGGCTATGGATCTTTGGATAAAACTGTGAAAACCAAAACAAAAATCCATCCTATTTTTCTTTTCATTAGTGAAGAAATCATGGTAAACTATGGTGGTAATAAAAATAATGATTTGAGTGTTTTCAGTCAATTTATGAAAATCAGAAACGTGTCAGAAAAGATGGGAAATTTTAGCTTTACAGGTTATTTTGTGAAAAACCTATTTTTTCTTATGTTTACTGGAGATTATAAAACTATACAGCCTTTTTACATGAAATTGTGCTTTGAATGCTGTCAGGTTTAATTTTTTATTCAGAAGATCATAATTAGAGGTCTTAATGATATGCTGAAAATGTTGTGTCCAAGAATATTTAAATAAGGAATAACCTCTGTCTTTTCTTCCTTAGCTCTTAGACTATGATAAAAGTTAAGATGATACTAAATAATCTTGGATCTTTCTAATGACTCAACAAAGTATTTATTAATTATTACATTACTCAGGAAATATTTAATGCTAGAACAAGAAAGAATTGGAGTAACAACCGAAGTTGGACTATATTGGAAAACCTGTTGAGTGTAAAAGGTTTGGTGTTTTTTTTTTTTTTGTACAAATCTGAAATACCAAGAGTCACATTTGTGGTCTTCTCTCTATGGTTGTTCCAACTGGTTGTTCCAAATACTGATGCAATGTTAAGGAGTAAATAATAAAAAAGTAATAACACAAATTTTTAACACCTGATGACTAGTTAAGAGAGCTTAGTTTTAGTTCAGATTATTAATAGTTTTAATGATAAATGAACACTAATAGCATATATAAATCTATGTATTTTTGTAGCTCAGCACCAGTGAAAGTAAATCCTAATTGTACCTTTGCAATGACAGTGATCATGCAAACTCTTCAGCCACTTCTTTTTCTAGAGGGTCTCATGGAAATTTTTTCTTTATCTTATCCTCTGTGCATCATCAATTTAGAAGAAAATATGCTACTGTTTGGAAAAGATGCGAAAAAATAGCCTGTTACTGAGATCATTTTTAACTAAGTTCTAACTTAGCAGAGCAGCTCGCTTGGCAGTTGGGTTTATTTGAACAATACGGTTTTTATACTAAAAAATATCATGTATCAAAGATGAAATAACATAGGCTGAAAGGGGGGGAAAGGCTTTGTTTCCCACAATGATGTCTCCGAAAGCGTTTCAGAAATCTTCAAAGTAGCAGAGTACTTGTCTTACAGCGAGGAATACAGCTTTCAGCTGTATTTCCCATTCTGTGTTTTTCTGATTTCAGCTCCCTCTCATGCTTTCATTAAGGAATTTTGGGGAACATTTTGAAAAACAAGGATCCTTGCATGCATAATTGGAAAAATACAGTGAAGCTATTACTGTGTTATGAAAGGGAAAATATTACTGGCACATCATGTCCAGGTTTGGTTTCCATGCTTCAGAAGGGAGATTACAAATGAGGAAGGGTTCAGGCAAGTGTTGTAGTAATTATTTCAAGGCTTTGAAAGCTTGAATAGTTTGATCTTTCAGTGATCTCTGAGGCAAAGAGGCCCTACTCAGGTTACGTCTAAGTACTTACTAAAGGGATAAGATGTCTTACTGTAAAGGACTCTATGCAGAAAGCATAGCAATTTCTACATATCATAGATTTTTTTCATTACAAATCTGTGTTACCTGTATAATCATGTGAGTATGAGGTTTATTAAGTACTGACACAAACTCAAGATCAATCTTTCTACCATTTGGTTTTATAAAAAAGAAAGTAGAAGCTTTCCTAAGATACACACTTTTGTTCCAACTGTCAGGCTAGGGCTTAATATAGGAATTATTTGGAGAAATTCTAATTTTAAGATAAATATCCAATAATATGTCTTTTAGTATTAAAATTCAAATAAACATTTGATGCAGTCAAATTATACCAACAGGGGAAGAAGAATAAAATACTTAAAAGCTAAAAAATGCACAAAACCTAATAGAACTATACTTTTATAGACATCAAGTTGAAATAAAGACTGAAAAATCAAAACTAAAGTAAAAATTAGTTGAATGATTAGGGAAAAGGGAAAAAAATTTACTTTGGAAGGGCGAAGTTGGTTATCAGATTTCTGAGTACTCATATATAATTTGCATCAAATTTTACCAGAAATTAAGGATCATTATTTTAGTACACACAAAATTTGGAAAAATAAAATTTAGGCATGCATAGAATCTTCTTTCTTGTAGAAAGGGAAACATTGTATCAATAAATTTGGGATAAATGCTTATTGTTCTCTATGTCTGGATACTCACTGCAGTGCTTTAGTTGTTGATACTGGTAGCAATAGTTCTTGTATTGTTTAGGCAACTGCTCAGTGCTAGGAAACTTGGGATTTTTCTGGAATAGGCTGTGCCTTTAGATATTGTAACCTGACATCGGTGATGGCTTTGAGTAATGGAGAAAGAAATGTGTTGAAATTCCTGAGGTAGAACATCTCACATATCTGCATGTGACAATTCATGGATACTGCAGCGTGCCGGTACTTTATAAGGGCTTCCTGTTTATTTAATTTTCTTATTTCAAGTTGCTTTTTGTTTGCAGTCTTGTGGCTTGAAAGGACTTTACGTTACTAATCATACTATTAGCAGAAACTGGTAGTAATACCCTAGGACTAAAAGTATTTTAAAAGACAGAAAATATATGGGAGTAAATGATTGATAGCAATTGATATGCAAAAGCAATACAGCAGCATGTCAGTACTAGCATACCAATACTTTATAGTATACATTTAATAATAACCAAATATCAACTGCTGTTGTCATGTAATGGTAAACATATATATATATATATGATGTAAGTAATGATAAATTGTGAAGTTCTTTAAAATAATGTTAAGATTTTAATTTTCAAATGGATATGCACCTAAGCAAGTATGTCCTGATACACAATCACTGTATCTTATAAGCATGCATGTTGTTGAAGTTTTCTAAGGCAAGCATGCACCTAGAATATCTTTAGTCATTCCATATGATTTAGTTTCTTTTGTAGTTTATAAAGATAGACATAAAAAACCTAGTCAGGTTTATTTTTCTATAAAAGTAATTTCTTTATGAAAATGTGCATTTCAAAGGTGGGTCTAACTCAGTGAATGATAACCTTAATTATTAGTAATTTCAATTTCCATTTACTGCAAGAATGTAAAACTCATACTGAAATATTTTGTAGCCTCGAGTAATCTGTATTATCTCTCTTCAAATATGTTGTAAACATCTACTTTATCTTGAAATGCAAATATCTGAAATATACTTTAAATTTTAAGTAAATATTTTAACATCCTATATAATGCTTGTAGAGAGCAAAATTTAGGGACAGAACTAATGAACTGAAGAATGGAAAAGACAGTTCGATTCCTTGCATAACTGACAAAATCAGGTCACTTTTGTGGAAGATAGTGAATGGGCGTAATAAGCTGGTGACAAAACAGAAAAAAAGGTAATAATTCAAAAATTACCACGCCATTAATCTTGTCTTTAAAAGAGAACAAACTAATTTATTTCAGAGAGGGTTAAACCTGAGGTGCAATTTATAATCTTTTTGATAGCCTTGTAATGTTGAAAGATGAATAATGTCATTCTGCATGATTCATGTCTTGAGTTATTTTTGTGAAAAAACTGAGGTAGTGATGACACAAGGCAACAAGAAATCTTCAATTTACTGTTCATCTGTGGAAAGGTAAGATCTGTATACATAGGAGCAGGACTTGGTGAAAGAGCATGAGCAGCATCACAAATGAAGATTGATGTCACTTTCAAAATTCAGTAGTTGTCATTGAAGATACTGATATAATTTGAGTACAGTTGTCTTAAATATAATCAGAAAATAAGCCAAATTAAGGAAGAAGGGAAATTTCACAAGAATTTGTCAGGTGTCCCCCCTCAGGGAGAAGCAATTATTTTTGAGTTTTATCTGTAAGTTTTTGTTGTGTCATTATATTCTCTTACCTTTTTCATTGTCTTTTCCAAATTTTGAAATTGGTCTCTAACCTTGGAAAATAGTGAAAAGAAGCATCTTTGTTACATATAAGACCAGAGTGAAATTTTTACAGCTGCAGTCTTCATTTGGTTTTTCATGTTTATTAGACTGTTGGGGATGTTGTACTGGGGAACTCTATGGCCAATCACTGGAGTTCCTCATTGTGCCTTCTCTTCTCCTTTGGAAAGTGTCCTACAAGGGCTAGTAGATATTGCAAGGAGTCTGATCCTTTGACCTGGCTGTGTCCAAAGACAGACAGCATTTGTATCGCTTCTTCCCTATTCTAAAGATTACTGAGGAGAGTTTTTCCTACATGCTGTGGATTGGACAACTGGGTGTTTTCATGATCCTCTTCCAACTTGGACACTCCTGACATTTTCAGGAACTCAGACTTTGAATCCAAAACTGGCCATAGGCAAAGTCTAATGAGTAATTCTCATGAGAACTACTAAAATAAACAGAATTCCAGTCATGATTGGGGCTGCTATTAGAGAAATGTACTGTATAGCCTATGGTATCTCTCATGGGTACTGTTGGTAAAAGTATAGTAACTACTATACTTTTATAACATTTACAGAGAACTTTTCTAATATATTTAATAGATCTTTTAAAATACTTCTCTCTCTGCACTACTGGGAAAAAAAAAAAAACCACCAGAAAAAATTGTTTCGGTGCTTAAATATATCTTTTTTTTAATATTAAAAGAAAAAAATTGGCTATGCTTATATGGTAAAACTCCTAAAATTCTATTTTTTTGTTGTAAATTGCAAATACTGCTGGGGATACTCTCCTACTGTTTATTGGAACTCTCTCCAGATTCTTCTTGTGAAATCAGTGTTTCTGTAAACAATTACATTGCCTTTTTTTTTTTTTTTAGATAGAAGTGATGCAGTTGAGCTTCCTATGAAATTCATTCCTCAGTATGCTGGTTGCTACCGCTGTCAGATTCTTCTGAAGTCCTCCTGGGATGTTCGTGTGTATGAGATTGAATGTGTAGTAAATACAGGCCATGCTGAAGCAGAGCTTGAATTTCTAACTCCAGCTTATCAGGCAGTGATTCAGGATATTCCAATAGTAAGTTCACTTTACTACTAGAAACTAAACTGAGATTCAGGATTTTTAAAAACTTGACTCCGGATCAACACTGTTAAAATTTAGAATTGTAAAATGCACAAATGCATGTTAATACTGAGTTGAGCATTATTACTCAAATCCCATATTGGACATAAGATAATAGTGGTTGGGACAAATAGTTTCTGGCAGTTCTTAAAGTAAATTATTAGTTTGACCATCTTATTTCTAATGTTTCACTTCTGTTCTGACAATTGCTAATCTCTTATTTAACGTTATCCCACTTAAAGTGTAAAAAGGAGTTGTTTAATCCTGTGAGTAAATGTATTATTTCTGAAAAATAGGAGTGATGGTGAGGAGTAAAATAGAAGAACTAGATTATGTACAATTTAGAAGAAATAGCAAGCATGTGCAGTATCTCATACAAGTTTTGTCATATCTATTTTGTATATGAAACAAATTGACACGTGAGAAGTAAGACTAGAGAGTGATGATGAAGTGTAGGTTGGAGTGTCATCTCCCTCAAAAAATTATTACTCAAAATTTAGAGAACTTTTCTGATTTATAAGAAAAAAAAAAAAGATTGTGAAGGAGCTTAAGCAGTGAGAGAAAAGGGAGAGATTCTTTGAGAGATAGAAATGGTAAAATGTTTCCTGGGATTTAAAGTATGGCTTGGTCTACATACTTGATGTATCCTTTTGATATTAGAGTCACCGAAGTACACAAGTGAGTTAATTTATAGAAAAAGTATTCTGAGATTCTGTAGATAAGAGTGGGAGCACAGTCAAAAAAGGAGACAATATCTGGGGAAAGACCATAGTGTGGATACTCTGTGAAATACTGAAAATAGGCAAGAAACTAGTTCATTAAGAAGAAAAAAACCAAAGAACCCCAGTAAAGAAATAAAGGGAAATCATATTACAGTGCTATCTTTTCTTACACACAATTTTTCAGATATTAAAATATTACTTATTAAATATTGATTTATTGAATGTTGCATTATGAAAAACAGCAGTTATATTACACAAGAAAGTAACACAGAAAGGTAAGGGGTTTTGTTTCACTTCAAACAGAGTTTCTAAACAGATTGGCTTTGTTATTTTGATTTTTTTTTTGTTTTTTTCCCAGAGTGTACTTAAGTATATATTTTTAAATTTCCTGCAGGAGTCATGCATTTATGCTTTTAAGTCCTGCTTGTTTTCTTAGAAAAGAAATAAAAAGTACCCCAGTTGGAGCATATACTCTCTGTGTGTGTATATGTGTGCGTTTGTGAGAGACAGAACGTGTCTCTCTCTCTTTTGCGGAATTCATACAGGTGGTCACAAAGTTTGGTATAAATGTCTTCCCCTAAATTTGCAAAATCTAACGTTGATGAACAAATACAAATATGTGAAATTGTTTCTGTTTTTTACATCTTAAGCTTAATTTTGTGATTGCACATTAGTTTTTCCACAAGGTTTCTTTTACGTTCAGTGTAAGAAATGTGTGTTACTCTTTCAAGGAGTTAGGTAATTTACATTTTAATGTACATTCATTCTAGCTGGACCTTCTGCATCTATCAGAAATTTTTCCATACTTTTATCTTGTTAATTAGCACTGTTATGCTTGTTATTCAAATGGCTGAACTTCAAAATACTCTAGGAAGTCGTGATCATAGAGAGTGAAACTGAGGTATGAGGTTGTGCAGTGTGCTCAACTTAGTTTCTTGAACCTAATATTTATTGTTCAAAGCACTTTTTACAGACACTAGCAAACTAATTGTCATAACATCTACATGGTAGGTGGAACACCCTATAAATGGAGCATGTAAAATGATCAAGTGATTTGCTTAAAGCCACACAGTGAATAAGTGACAGAACCAGAATAAGAACCCACCTGAATCTGAAATCCATTATTGTTTTTTGATATGGGAGTTAAGGCTGAACATCTGACTTTCCCATAATTCTCACAAGCATGAGATGAACATAATTGTTCCAGCAATCACTTTCAGCCTCTCCAGGTGTAGGTCCTATACATGCAGGCTTATTATGTACCTTGGATTTAAACACCTACTATCCTGTGAAAAGATTCCAACTCCCTTTAGCATTAATTGTGTTTCTCATTGACTTAACAGGCTTTGCATAAGATTTTGAAGTAAGCAGACATTCTGTAAGAATTAGGCAAGCAATTAAAACTGTTTGTTAATGCACAAGTACAAGGGAGTAGAATTTTATCGTTGTTTAATTTTCATTTTCTAATGTTTTTGGTTGACCTTAATAGCTTTCTTTAGAAGATATTTTTAGACAAATTCATGGTGTATTGGAAGGATTTGTTACAGTAGAAGTTCAAAGTGACCATGTTTGTCAACTACATTTCTCCAGATGAAAAATGTTTGTGTTCGAGATTAAGAATAAATACTTATGATACCCGTTTTTGTGATCACCACTAATGTACATAAAGGATCTGATACCAATGTCAGATTATTAAAAATAATTGAAAATAAAGCTACTTAAGGCCCCAGATTTTCACTGTCTTTCTCTTTTCCTTACCAAAGAGCAATTGTGGTGATGTTTTTCCTCTCTCCCCCTTTTAAAATAGTAGATCAGCAAAGGGTGATGACCTGCCCGTTTTAAAAATGGTCAAGCTTGTTTTCGAAAGGATAAAATTGTTCCTGATATTGTGGAGGGAAAAAAAAAAAGCATGAGAATAAAAATAATCTTTTGTCACCTTTTCCCCGTTTTCGTTGTGTCCTCAGCATGAGATACCCATTAATTACTTTTTTCTTTCATGTATACTACCACAGATGATGTAGGTGTTGTTATAGATTTGGAGACCACAGTAATGGAAGTATTTTGAAAAACTGAGGCAATATGGAAATCTCAACATTCCAAACAGACATTTGTGCTCAGTTACTAGGAAATTTACCTCTTAGCAACTAAGAATTACACATTAATCATACGTATTAGCTGAACCTTAGATATATGATCCTTCAGGTCTTGGGCCATGGGGTTAGATCTCATGACCACAGGTGCTGGTTCTTATTTTCTGATGAGATAGCTGAGCTTGATTGACTTTCAAAGGAAGCAAGAATTTAAGTGTCATCTTTATTCTACCAAATCCATTGTTTATCTCTGATGTTTATATACAGTTTTCCATGGATTAAGACCCATGTGGGCCTGACCCATTATGGGTCAAAGGATTACTTCCTCTTTGCATAGATCAGATCGATCTTCTCCATTTTGGCAAGGCAAGCTCTTGAATGCCAGTTTATTTTCTTCTTCAGATAGATGTTAACCTTCTTGCATACTTTTAAACAGACTTTCATACTACTCAGGACAGGCATTTTTAAAAATAGATTAGTCTCTTGAAAGATCAGTTTCTGAGAACATAGGACTGTGATTACTCCTTTGGAGACTCCTTTGTGGATGCCCCATCCCTGGCTGTCTTCAAGGCCAGGCTGGACGAGGCTATGAGCAACCTGGTCTAGTGGAAGGTGTCCCTGCCCATGGCAGGGGGTTGGAACTAGGTGGTCTTTAAGGTCCCTTCCAACCCAAACGGTTCTATGATCCTATGAGATGGAGTCCTTAATTGGTAAGGAAGACTGATCCTATAATATAGTCAGTGGCCAAATGAGGCAATATATGCTAGTACACCACGTCAATACTTCAAAGAGGTACACTTTGAAGACAGCACCATGAAGATACTTGTAAATGTTTATAAGGATACTTATAAATTTCATCTTGACCATTAGCTATATTATGTTCATATTCTTCTACTCCTGCTGACAGTGTTGCTACTGGTAGTATTTGTGCCAGTAATTCTGGCTGTCAGGAATAAGGGATTTATTATTATCTTAATTAATTTTTAAAATACAGTTTTATTCTCTCCAAAGGTACTCTGGGCCAGTACTTTGGTATAATTAGTACTGTGCTCTAATGCAGTGATAAATGTAAGTAAAAGCTGAAATGCCTGTTAAGAGCTTTAAATGCATAATCTAATTTACATCTTTATTTTGATTTCAGAGTAACGTGTCCAGCCAGAACTGGAAACTTAAAGCAATTTTGGAAGGACAGGGTTTTTATGGCCCTCCTTTAATAAACGTGGGTCTGGGTGAAACAGCTGTTTATCCTCTCATGTTCAAGCCTATTGCTGAGTGCGTAACAACGGTAAGAGGGAAATTAGTTTCAGCATTTGAAAAGGATACTTCTGTCAATAAAATTTACTTTGTTGTCCAAATTATAAAAGTGCTTAAGCAGTTACTAACATTAAGTGTCTGCTTGAGAGTCAGACATTGACAGGTTGCCTACTAGCTGAAGTAAGAAATCTCTGCTCTGTAGAGATTCTGAACTTTGATCAAAAAAATGTACATTGTGTTAGTCTGAATTTAAATGCATATTTTAAATTTTATTTCATTACCTAACTAATAAAGTAGTAACATTTTTTTCTCATTGCATGCATACATCACAGAAGAATTTGTGATGCCTACTTTGTTTCATAAAATGATTTCTGTTACAAGTTAAACTACTGCTTAGAAGCTGCTTTTGCCATCAGGGCAGTCACTATTCCAAATGCAAAAATGAAGAGCAGAGCAAAGACTCTGACCCCTCTAGCAAGAAGCAGTATACATACTTCTGCCTATATACTAGCTGAGAGATTTTGACTGCAGGTTGCTAATCAAATGTTTGAATTGCCAAAGACAAAAAAAAAAGTTTTGCATAACATTAGTAATCTTTCTGAATGCTTATTACTAACCTAATACACCATAGTTTAGGAGTCCAGTATGACAAAACTATTAAAGAAAAAAGCCCTGAATCCTTTCATGACAAAGAACCATGAAGAACATTTTAGTTGAAGGACAGATTGAGTGAAGTTATATTTTATATGAAGAACACTTATATGAGAACATGTTTTCTTTGGATATTTGTTTTCCAAGAAACCAAAAAGTGTAAAACATAGCTATACAAAGCCTTTATATTTCAATGTTTTAATAATTTTGAAAAATTAAAAAGAAAAGGTTTTCTTTCTTTAATTTTCTTCTTTGTTTAACAGCAGGGTTTACTTAAGAACTAGAAAATTCAATAGGAACACTTTCTTGTGAGGATGCTTTGGTGCCTGGATTTAAGGTTAATAAACTAAAGAAGTTGGTTTGGCAGCCAAAGAGGAATTTACTGTGCTTAAACACTTTTTCTTCTTTCTTTATCACAGGGAAGGCTTATTCTGCGAAATGTTACAGCTGGCACTGAAAACATCTTTAGCCTTAAGGGAATAGGGAAGAAACCTCTGGCACAGGATCGTATTGTGATAGATTGCCAAGTAAGAAAGGTCACTCGAAAAATTTTATTGGTGCCCAATTATACAAAGAGCAAGTTAACGTACAAGGTAAATTTTTTGCAACTATTTTTCTATTCAAGAGCCAACAAATATTGTATTATAATATCAAATATTGTTGTAATTGCACATGTACTATTAAAATTAATGTATTCATGAGAAATTATAGCTAACTATAGTTTATAGTATATGTATATGTTTATAGTCAGGAAATCTGTGAGATAGTGTATGTTTTTACTGTACCATGGAAAAATATTTTAAAATTTTTTTAGTTTGTTTCCCAAAGGGACAGCACTTTCGCACTTGCATTCTGTTCATTTGTTTGTCTTTCTTCCCTTCCTTCTGGTTTTGAAATCAGAGGAGGGGCTTGAGAATTACAGGGTCCCTAAAATCTTCATAAAGCATTGCAATATTACAGGGAAAGTACAGAAATTATTATCCTACTAAGGATAAGATTGCAGCATGAGCTCACTATGTATCAGTTTCTGATGCCCTAATGGCCTGGCCAGTCAGTGCTTACATTTCTTTATCACTGTTAGTGTCTTTTGCCCACCTGTTGTTCCAGGGATATTGGAGGAAGTTGGAAATACTTTGTGTGTTTGCTGATGAGACAGAAAATTCAGAGTAAATAACAAACTGGAGTTGTTGAAAGGCAATGAATCACTAGGGAGATGGAGTAGGAGGTGCTGAGGTATTTGTGGTTTCAGTGGAGGGAAATCAGACACAAATTCTTAGAAAATACAGTTTTGTTATTTTCCCTGCTGAAGATCTATTTACTATTAAATATAATAATTCATTGCTTTTCACTGAGTTGTATATTTAACTGTATTTACACAAACACATTTTCTTATTTAAAAACACTGTTGTATTACTGTAACTGCATAATTTTCCTACCATTTTTCTTGTCTGCATGGTTAATTTGAAAGTGATAAAAGTATTTCGGCAGTCTTCCACACCTTCCTTACCCATGCATAGGATGCCATGTCATATGCTAGCAGAGGCATAGTGTATACTAGGGCGAAAAAGTTTGCTTTAGCTTTTCTTCTCAGCTGCAGAGAAGAATCCTGAGCAAGAACATCTTGGACCTTGCTCAGTGAAAGCCGTCTTTGTGACTCTACTATGGCATTTAAATCTGGAGTATATCGCATCTAGATGCTGTGACCTTATACTATTTGCTAGGAGGGCCCGGTCTGTGAAAACAATGCAGGAGAGTGTGCTCTAAAAATTGTCAGCACATGTAAATGTGAATTTTTGAATTCACGTTTTGGGGAGAAGGAGGGAAAAGGGGAGAATATAGATTCTAGAAAGTAAAATCTGACTAGTTAACTTGTGTGGACTTGTCAAATGAGTGACTTTTTTGTTCTCTGCCTTGGTGCCAGTAGCACCAAATGGTACTTTGTGCATAATGTTGATAGGTATTGGTAGAGAGTGGCCTCACCTTTGTTTATAAAGAGAGAAAATGTATATACCAGCAGCAGTCTTCTATCAGTTAACGGGAATTCATAACAATGTAAAATCATTCCTTAAACTTTTTCTAGTCCCCAATTTTTCAGTATTACTGGAGGATTTACATTTAATAAAAAGGTCCAGCTTCATGTTCCTTTTTTTTGCCTCATTATTACCCCACCTCAAACAAAGCAGGAAGTGTATTTTTTAGGCATCACCAGCTTTGATATTTTTCTTTTCAACAGTCTTAGCTTTTTAGATGTGAATGCATTTACATTTATAATACATTTGTACTTTTATCTCTAAAAGAAGTGAATATTTCTGAAAATTGACAACAGAATTATTTCCTCTGGTTTCCCATTTTATTAAAACTCAGTGTCTTTTCTGCCAATGAAAGTCACTGAAATATCAAACTTCAAAATGGATACATTATAATTATGTATTGTGTGTCTTTTTCAGAAACATTGTGTTAAACAGATTTACGACAGTTGTAACCACTTTAGCATGAGCTGGGTCTGATTGAACTTTGACCCTCCTTGAGGATGCTCTCTGGCTACCAAAATCTGGTTTTTGGGTGTGTGTTTTCTTCCACTTGGTTGGTTTTATGGTGTCTTGTTTTGCTGCCATTTTTTTTTTTTTTGACTCTTTTTCAAGTACTGCTTGACAGTCCAACCGTGCGTGCTCTTCTTGCTCTGGGACTTTGGGAGAGAAGTAGTAAGGCCAACTATTTCATGCTTGTATGCATGTAATAAATTAATCAGTGTGCATAATGTATTTTCCTCTACGCTAGGATTTTATCCAGAAGCTGTTGCAGAACAGTTCAAGCAAGGTGAGCTGGAATTGTTGGAAAAGGCAGGATTGCGAAACCTACCAGTGTTTGGAAACTGTCCTGAATAAAGCAAACAATGTTAATCATTTCCAGTCACTCTCCAGCAGATGTCACGTAGTGTCTTGTGCATTTGTAGTGACTGAAGATCGTTTGCTCGCTTTCAATTCCAAAAGGGTTAGTAAATTTGCATTTAATCAGTAAATCCAGAACATGGTCACTGTTATTAGGAGTTAAATGCAGTTATTAGGATAAAAAGTGCAAAAGTGACTATTAAAAATGAAGGTTAAGTCTGGGAGGAAGGGGGAAACATTTCTTTCTTTTTCTCCATTAAGAAAGCCCTCTTCCCTCTGAATAATACTTTTCCCATTTCAAATATATATGGAGTGCTCATGTCTGGAGAAGCAATAATTTTTGTATGTGTGGTTTGCTTGTCTGTGCAACCATTAGTATGTATCAAGAGAGTTGAGGAGGGAAGAAGTGCCTTTGGAATTCAGTGGAGGTCATGTACATGACTCCATCAGTCTACCTTTAAAAATGCTAAGCAAAACACTTTCAGTGCCCACAAAGCCTTCCATGATCAAAAAGACGATTTATAAATTCCCTTGAAAAATATGAACGTTTTTATGAACTATTTTCTACTGATTGATGAGTACACCTTAGGGAAGTACTGCTGCTGTGCTCTTCATAGCTGGTTCTAGGGGATATTACAACAAACAGTCTCTTGTGAATAACTTACTCCTGGGTCTGAAAAAACGTCACAGCAGAATTCATAAAGAATTTGTGCATGTATGGCATCAGCCAGAGAGCACATCTTTCTCTGATGCTGAGTTAATATAAGGTTAGTGACTGCAATGTACGTGGATTTTAGTGCCTTTAAAATTAGATTAAAATCATTCTAAAAGAGCAGGAAGTGTACTTCTATAAAATCCAATCTGTCAGTCTCATGGCAGAATTTTTTTTTAAACCATTTTCTTTTGATTTTTGTATAAAACTGTCTGCTGGATATATATAATTGTCTGGTGTGTTGATGCTCAGTTCTAATGACACCTTTGATAGTAACTTTATATATAAAGGTGCCTAATTTTTTCAAGTCTTACTTTTGTAGTAAAAATATAAAACTGTATAACTATTTTTCTCAGTAATGTTCCAAATAGATGCCATTAAAGTAAGACCTCCAGAGGAATCTCAAGGTTCAGTTAAATTACCTTTCAGGTATTAGGTTATACAAACCGTTAGCAATTTCCCAAAGTATTGTAGAATAGATACATAATCAAAAAATATGAAATCCCCTGTTCTCGATGCATTTCTGTCTCTATCCTCCATATATCCATTTTAGATCTTTAGAGTGTCAATGAAAGACTGACAAGAAGGTTGGGTATTTGTAACAAATATCTCCTGTGTAAACATTTAATGAGGGACTTCCTGTTCAAGCTAAGTCTTGTTTGGTAACGTATGTGAGCTTTCCTGAGAATAAATTCCATGCAACTCTAGTAATGTGAATGGGCAAAGTCCTATACCCTCATCAAGTTTGTATTTTTTTACCACAAGCAAATCTGTGTGCGCCATATTCCTTCTAATTTTATCTGTCCTTCCAATTTCAAACCTTTTGGCTTCCACGTTGCCTACGAGAACTTCTATAACAGGCTTCCCTACAGAAAAAAACTTTCTTCGTAGCAATAGCGAATGGTACAAAGGCCTACAGCATGTAAGAATAACTGTCGTTGTTGGCAGGGGTTTTTTTGTGATTATCGGTTACGAAAGTGTTTGATCAAGTAAGGGTATAGTAAGGCCTTAGGTCTGATTTGTGTCTTGAGATAAGTTAGTGGTCTTCACAGTGGTCTTGGCTGGGTTATGAATCTGGATTATGTAGCACTCTTCATTATGTAGAACTCGGGATTAGCAGCTGAACAGGCAGGAATTATTTGAGGAATATACTCAGTGTAATGCAGAAATATTTTAGTTCACGGTTGTAACATGCTGCTGGCAAAACAAAGGTGATTGCGAGAATTAAATGAATTCCTAATAACTCATGAACTTGCAAAGTATGCACTGAAAGCAGGATGAGGACAAAGTATTGGAGGCTTTCTTTGAACCATCTGTCATTCCTAACAGTATTGAAAAAAATCTGGTTAACAGAATGATCACTGACTCTCACAGACCCAGTTCTGGCCTAGTGTCAAGGAGCATTACCTTTTTTATTAAGTACAGCCTGTCAATATTGTTGAACAGACCTGAGAAACAAATTTCAAATGGAAACTGTGAACATACTACAGTCTAACTTTGTTACACAAAGAGATAGTAGAATTTAAGCATATTTAACTAAGTTCTATACATCCATTCACTACTTTGGCTTGAACTGTCAGCTGACATTTTTTCAAGTTATGTTTATTTAGTTACTCAACTCGGGAAATTTTTTTTTTTTTACTATAATTTTGAAGATTGGCTTTCCATTCCATTCCATTCCTATTCATCTTAAATAGCCATAATACACTTCTGCAGAATGAGTTTTCAAACCTGTAATGTGTTTCTGGAGAAGTACAGGAAAATTTGAGATCACCGGTATCCTTTGAACACTGAAACAGTAGTGCATTTGTTATTTAAACATCCCCAGATAACCCTAAGAATACACCATGTCCAACACCAAGAAAAGAACAAATCAAAAAAACACAGTAATTTTATCAGTCTGATGCAGGGGAGGGAAGGGAGAATTCGTTCTTGTGTCTTGATATGTATACCTGGATTCAACCACTGAAACAGTGGCCATGTATGTACTATTGTGACTTCATTGCTTATACTCAACTTTTTCCTGTTTGGTTATACAACCACTTAGTTAACAACATAATTTTAAAATAATTTAGCTTTGATTCTAAAACTTCTCTTGAGTGACCAAAAATCATCAAACTTCCAGTCTACATTTATACATCAGCACTCCATATCCATTTCATGGTTATAGTCAACTTTACACGCAGTGTTCCTTTTACTTTGACATTTTTTTTTGCTAGAAACTAGTCTGATATATCCAGTCTTTGACAGAAACTCTATGACCCTATTTTCCTGCATTTTTTCAAATTTAATCACATTTATCCTACTTTTGCGTCTGCCTCCATGTTACTTTCTCCTGAAAAAGATCTCATTTTAATTATTCTTATTTCTATCCCTAATAATTTGCTGCCATTTCTGTTATCCTATCCTTATTTTTTCGGTACTTAGACTCTACTTTCATACACTTTACTAACTTCACTGTAAACTGAAATGAAGTGGTCTATAAATAAGGGATCACACCTGATTTATTGTTTATCTTGTATGAAGCGAAATTTCCTTATCCTCAGCGTGTAGCAGCCCCTCTTTTCATAGAATCATAGAATGGTTTGGGTTGGAAGGGACCTTTCAAGGTCATCTAGTCCAACCCCCCTGCAATGAGCAGGGATACCTTCAACTAGATCAGAATGCTCAGAGCCCCATCTAGCTTGACCTTGAATGTTTCCAAGGATGGGGCTTCTACCACCTCTCTGGGCAACCTGTGCCAGTGTTTTACCACCCTCATTTAAAAAACAAATAAACAAACAAACCCCAAACCCCAACAGAAAACCTTCCTCTTAATATCTAGTCTAAATCTTCCCTCTTTTAGCTTAAACCTATTACCCCTTGTCTTGTTACTACAGGTCTTATGAAAAAGTCCCCTCCCAGCTTCCTTGTAGCCCCTTCAGGTAATGGAAGGCTGCAATAAAGTCTCCCCAGAGCCTTCTCTTCTCCAGGCTGAACAAGCCCAACTCTCTCAGCCTGTCCCCATAGCAGAGGTGCTCCAGCCCTCTGAGCATCTTTGTGGCCTCCTCTGGACTCGCTCCAACCCGTCTATATCCTTCTGATGTTGAGGGCCCCACACCTGGATGCAGCACTGCAGGTGGAGTCTCACCAGAGCAGAGGGGGAGAATCCCCTCCCTCGACCTGCTGGCCACACTTCTCTGGATACAGCCCAGGATACGGTTGGCTTTCTGGGCTGCCAGCGCACACTGCCGGCTCATGTTCAGCTTTTCATCCACCAGTACCCCCAAGTCCTTCTCCTCAGGGCTGCTCCCGATCCCTGCATGCCCCGGGTTCTATTGGTACCGGGGGTTGCCCTGACCCAGGTGTCTGTCTCTCTGTTGTTAAGAGAAATTTTTTTCTAATTTTTTTAGAAGTGCCAGGTCAGCAAGACTTTCCATCACTCTCTTCTTGTCCTCTTTTTTTTTTTTTCTTGATGATTAGTCTCTTTTCTTGTTCTTTGTGGTTGTTAGACTTCTAACATACAGCTTGAAATTCAGATTTATTGGGGAAGAGGAAGATTGTTGCCTTAAAGGTTTTCTTTTCCTGTTATTAGAATAGAAGTTCCAGATTGTAGTAGTACTTGAACAAAGTATTATATTAAAGTACATATCCCAAGGAGGATGAACATTCTGGGCAATGATGGGCTGTAATAGAACTCAAGATGATCTTAGAATTTTTTTTTTTTTTCCTACAGAAAATATGAAACTTATTTACTAAAATAAAAAGATAGCTTTGGGAAGGAAGGAAGTATTCTGTGCTCCTATTGCTTTTACTGTTGGAAAAGCAATCTGTGTAGAATCCAAGTCTCCACTTGGATGCTTGACAGCCTAGCTGCAGTCATTAATGAAATGAATATATGAGCCTGGAAATAAAAATAAAATTCTAATCTTCATGACTTTACTTGGGATTTCACTCAAAATCCGCCTAATCAACACTGAGTTAATTTTATTATTTAATGTAATAAGGAATTACATGAGTGCTACATGGTATCCTGAAAATATTTTTTAAACGGGCTCTGTGCCTCAGTGGAAAATCATCACCTGTAGTCAGACGTCCACTGCAGAAATTGCAGTGTCAATTTAAAGTACTGTTACTCAGCAGCAGTTTGCTCCACCCAACAGCAGAGGTAATAGAAGAGAGGGTGTGAGCAGAACCATTTATGCAGTCGCCTCCTGGCTTCCTGCACAACCAGTGATTTAAGCAGATAAAAAGTTGGTAATGCTGCAAACGTGAATGTCTGTACCATGAGCAGCTGATCATAGACTCTGTCTGTAGTAAACTTATACACATGACAAAAAAATGATATGCAGTTAAAAAAATGCTCTCAGCCAATATTCTTGCAATCAACTTTATAGTTTAGAGAATCTAAAATTCAGCATATGAAAATTGTATTGGCCTTTTCATTGTTCAAGTAGTTATTATGTATGCATCGCATACATGTCATTTGCAAAATATGACATACCAAAAATCATGGTTTAATATCACTTGAGGTGTATAGCAATTGATGTTAAAATGACACTTCAGATTTTGCTTTGCTCTGTCTAGTTAGATGAATCACTACTGTTAAAGCTCTTTGTTACACTTCTAAAGAAAAGGTATGTAAAATATTAAGGGCCTGACTTTGCAACTTTATGCATAAATAAGTAGTTCCATGGTCTAAGTGAGATAGTTTTACTTTCGTTCAGCAATGCCTTCGAAATTTGTGCTTGATATGATCTCTATATGCCAGCACTACGCTTATAGTGTGTATTCTTTTCACGTGCATAAAGGTTCGGACTTACTGATACCATTTTTTGTGTTCTACTCTTCAAAGCAAGTAGAATGGGTATTGTGCCTGTAGTGTTCTTGCCACAGTAACTTGCTTTCGATCACTTTGTGAATTCTCTTCACCAGGTATCTTCAGATCTTTCAATGGTGGGTGGTGCACCTGTTATTACTGTAGAACCAGATGACACTGTTGCTTACACATTGAGTGTATCTCCGTGGAGACGAGGAATCTTTCGAGGTACAGTGTAAAACCCGAATATATAAAATCTGTATAAATTAACAGATAAAATCTGTTTGCATTTAAAGCTTACATGATCTTTATTCTAGAAGTAAGGCTATAATTACTGGTGATAGTGGTTTGTAAGCTGGCTTATAGTGTTATTTGTAAAGGTAAATTACTGCTAAACATGTGGTCACATCCTTCAAAAATGCCAGCATATGTGCAACTATGCATTTAATTGGTCCCATGAAAATTGACTCAATAGGAATTAATGATTTTGAATTATCACCAAGTTCTTGAGTCTAAATTTAATCTTCTAAAACCTGTTGAGGAGCTGTGGTTATTTTAGCATTAATAAAATCAAAGTTTTAAAGGCAGAGACCAGAATTTTATTCTTTTTCTTGACCGCAAAGCATGAGTACATGCATAGAATGCAACGAAACCAATTCCTTCTTTGAGATGTGTAGAGGCTAGGGATGTCTAAAACCAATTGCATATAATCTGCATCAGTCCATGTTTATAGTGGTGTTCTTATGATAGAATAGCAAGAGTCTTGATTGTTTTAACGAACATCAACATATAGTATTTAATGTTTTTTCCTGAAAAGAATATTTTTAAACAAATATTTTTTAACAATTCAGATTTCATAGTTTTGTAAATGCTTAGTAATAATTCTACAATTCCATGTTGCTCATTATTTACCTCATAATATGAAAAACATATTTTCTCATGTGAGAATTGGGCTGTACAGTCAGATTTTTTCTTCCTTGGGAGGGAATGATGGGAACAGAAGAGACTGTCTTAAAGTAACTGAGTATCACACAGTAAACTTAGATATGAACAAATTAAACTGATGTTGGAAAAATCTCTAATCCAAAATGCTTAGTGTAGAGTTTTGATTTTCAGGGTTCCAAACCCCAAACAATTCATTCTTCTACCTTCTTAGACAATTGAAATTAATGACATATGTTTTCTTAACATTAAAAATCTATTAAGTGTTCTCCGTAAGGGTGCCCAACTAGTTTGGTCTTTTGGCCATTTTGATTTTAGCATCTGATGTGTAAAATATAAGTAATAATGCCATCTCAATTTACAGGTGATTTGTGGAAAGAAATTAATACTTGTAACAGAGTTTGGTCTGGTGTCACTGGTAGACTTCAGTGCCTTCTTACTAAATCTGTAGCCCTGAGACAAAATTTACTTTCTATGAATAGGAGTCAGCTTTCAGTGAAATTTGTGACCATCAGAAATGTTCACCAGGAAATACTGAGAATGCGCTATTTTAACTTATAATTTTTGGGGAGTTTATGTGTGTGGGGTTTTTTTTTCTTTTTCTCCAGGCTTTAAGAATTTAGTAATATTTTCTTCTGTCTTAAAAAATCCTCAGTTCTTTTATATATACGGAAAGTTTCAGTAGAGAAGGTTCCAAGGGATCTATAATACAGCAAATTGATATCAGGTGGTAAAAGCCGTTCCTTCAAAGGGACAGTGATGGCATGTTCAGATTGACATCTGCTATGTTCTATCGTTCCCCTAACTTCTATTACAATGGCTTCCATTATGTTTGGAAGTAGTTTATGTTCAGTGAGTGAGAAAAAGAGAGAACAGTCGGTCTCTGACCCGACAGAAAAGTTATTGGTTCAAAGGCTGGGAAGCCACATATGATCTTTTTTTCTGAAAACAGTTCATTTATTCTATGTCTTAAAATAACCTGATAGAAGGCTGAAGTTGTCTTTTGAAAAGAGACAGGGCCCAGTTATCTACCATCCACCCCCTGGCTCAGTGCTTGCTTTAATCACTACCCTAGGAAATCGTGCTTTGTGCTTCCTCTAGAGCAGGGACGGTTTTAGTTATGTCACAAAAATGTGTGCATGCTCTAATCATTCAGCTGCTGTAGGAAGAAGAGGGTTGGAGGGAAGAAAGGTTACTGCTGTGGGTTGGAAAGGCAGCTGCTGATTTTGCTGTCTGATGTGAGGTGAGATAGAAAGCTAACTACCAGATGTCCTATCTAAGGTAACATCAGCTAGGAAGTACTTACTTTTGTGGCTTCAAGAAGTCTGTCTGCTTCATACTGTGCAAGGCTGGGAAGTCGTATTTGTTCCCCAAAGCAGAATTTCAAGCTCCTGGAAAACTTTAATGTCAAAGCTGAGATATACATGCATTTTTGGCACTTTTAGGATCTTTTTTTTCAGCAGCCAGCCTGAAGCTTGAGGATCACAGATTGGATGTAGGTGATTCAAGTGGGAATTAATTAGGACTCGGGAGTCTTAGTCCTTTCTAGGTTGAAGATGGTACAGGTAAAGTAGAATTTAAACACCCAAAAAGAAAGGTACTCTATTCAGTTTGGTGAATTTGTTTAGAGGGAAGTAAACAATCCATGGGGCCACCATGTTGAATGATTGGGAAAAAAAAAAAACCAAAACCCTATGCTCAAAAGCTATCTAAAGAGTGGGTAAATTATACCTTGTGAGAAAAAAAGAACAAATATTTAGATACCTAGCTGAAGACTGCTATAGCGCTGATGGCGGATTTCAAGTTTAGAACTCCCTAACTTATAAGTGTAAAACTTTGTAGTCTTGATGTTCTAGTAGTGGTTTTGTCATATTAAAATAAATTATCATAAAAGGACTTTTACTATATAAATTGTTGTACTGTACAAATGGTCTGCATTTTTCTTTTACATTCAAAGTCCTTTTTGTTGCAAAATTATATAGCCATGAAATTATACTTCTTTTGCTTTCCTTCTTGTCATTTTATGATTGTTAAGCTAAAAAGTGGGCCCAGTTCTTTTCAAAAGTCCATTTGGAAACTTTCCAACACAGGGCTAATACCATATGCTTTGTCTGGTTTGTAGCTGTGTGACAGCTTTAACATAGAAATAATAGCTAATAAACATCTCACAAGATTCTGGCACCAGATAAAAGTCTTCAGCAATCTGGTTTCTAAGTAATAGAGCAATTTCCTTTAGGTTTGATAAAGCATCTTCTACATACTACTGTATCTTTTATCAAAGTTTTATTTCTGCTTTCTGCCGAAAAGACCAGAATTCTTCCAGAATAGGCCAAAGGTCATAATGGTTGAATATTTCTTGTGCAAAAAATACACACCTTTTATAGTCAGTGTCCTTTTACCCATAAAAATTTCTTCTACCTTTTGGAAAGGAGCTTTCTAATTTTATGTATCACCTTTCATATATTTTTTAGCTATGTCTGTACTTAGTAGGCAGCAGTTTTCCATGCTACTTGGAGCTTTTGAAGCTCACATTTGGGGAAAAAAGGCAGTATGTTACAGGCCATGGCCTGTCAGACTGCAACTGTAGAACAGTTTTAATGAGATGGTGAGGATCATGCCAGAACATTCTTTCCTGTAAATGAGATTTAATAAAATTTTAATAAAAAATTGGGGTTTTAACAGTATTTTCCATTCAACAGTTGTATGAAATCTGATTTTAAAATAAATTCTGTTCACTTCTTTATTTTGTGGAATTCTGAAAACTGATCTGCTGGTGGCTCTAACGTCAATGGAATCATAAAATCACGTGCGGGATGAAGACTGTCTCTGTAGCTTCTTGCAACCATTGTTGTATTTCCAGCATCTGTCTGTAACTTTGCCTTCAGCACTTCCTCTTCAGCAGACACCCTAACGAATTGAGTCTTAATTCATCTGTAATAAGGACAAAGAAGTGTTTTCTGGTTGCTTAATTACTGTGAATGGTTCTGGCATACCTCTGCTGCTGGATCACTGGATTTTACTAAGGAGGGCTGCTCTATCTGTGCATACCACTGCCTGGCAAGGTGATCCTCAGCATGCCCTTTCCATCTATCCTGGTGCAGCAGGAGGTGTGTACTCCTGCACCCTTTCATATCACGGTTTCATTGTCACAGTAAGAACAGACAGTGAGAATTACAAATAAAACAATTCACCTCTTTATTAAAGGCAACAAAACCATACAGGAATGTTAGTTGATAGCGGGGTTTGTCACTCACTCATTTCTCCTATGCATGAGTCTTAAAGCTTATTCTGCTTCCTTGTCACTGATGCAGGGAGCAATTAATTTAGTCCTGGAACACCAACAACTAGTAGGATTTACAGAAACTCTTCAGAACTTACATATATCGTCATAGAGGTTTTCCTACGCAAAATAGAGATTATAAAGTTTTGTTGTAACCTACAATAAATAACATTTTTTGTCAGTAGAAAAATTGCCAGAAGAAAAATTGGCCAAAACTAAAGCTTACGTAAATTACACTCAACTTCTTAAATTACTCTTTTCTGTGGAACTTTTCGAGCCAGCAACTATACATTGATTACACTGGCCAGAAAAAAGCAGGACAACATAAAAACCCTTACTCTAACTCCTAAGACCTGTGCTTATTAAGATCATGTTGCTATATTTAAACCACAAGCCAAACTTTTCCGTATCTTTTCAGATTTGTGTGATGAATACTGTAGCCACATAGCCTTCTGTTCTTGTTTCCAGCTAAAATATTGGGGTACAGTGGGCTTTTATCATCTCTCTGCACTAGAAAACAATCATGTACTTTACATATCTTTCAAATAATCCATTCAGATTATACAGAAAGGAAAGAGTTGAGTATTTCTTGCTTTCTTAATCGGATTCAGGGATGGTGAATCATAGTGTAGAGCCAATGAGTCAGTTTAACGTGTGTTGTTGCAATTACAGTTTTATTGGGACATAAAACAGCCTTTATCCTTCTACAGGGATGCATCTTCTCAGAAGCAATGTAAACCAAGGCTTTGGTATTAATATGTGAACTTAAGTTTTCTAAAATGTTTAAACACTGGATAGCAAAGCTAGAAAATTTTCAGTGGCGTTTTGACCAAGAAACCTTTTAAAGCAATGTATCAGCAAAAAGAAACCCTCTACAATTTATGTAGGTTTTAATAATTAATTTTCAGTATAATTTTAGGAATTACTTGTATTGTTGCTTTGGCAAGTTTAGTATTTTCTGTGTATGCCAAAGGACAGAGTAGTGGTATTTTCTAAAATACGTGATGGCATAATACTGTGGCCAATTGAAGCAGTGGGAATTGTAGCTCTGTGGTGTACATGAAGTCTTGTTTTTGAATGTATGCTTTAAGAATTGTCATCCATGATAATCTGATGTTACATTTTTATATCATGTATGACACAGAGGTCAGAACTCAGCAACTAGATGCAAGAAGAAAACCCTAACACTGGGGACTGTTAGGCATGAACAAATCTTCATTTATAATTTGCTTTGTAGCACCAAGAAAGGTAATGTGAGACACTGCTACCTTTACTGAAGACAGTGTAAACCACTGTGGTTTCTGTAGGATGGCAGTGCGTTTCACAGCTGAAAAACTAAAATTTCCTATATCAAAACTCTCACGTAACACAGGAGCCAAGCTCAGCAGAACCTTCTGAAGAAATACAAACATGCTTATTTCAAATCTGTCATTTTGATCATTGTTTCTACATTTTCCAATATACTTTTTATTACTTCATAACTTGCTAATGGATTTTTAGTACTCTTCATTGTATAAAACTCTATTTCCCATCCTGCAAAATACCTTTTGATTGGAATTTTTTTGTAGCCCGTAATCTCAATAAATTCATATATTTATGTATCATCAGCTATCTTATTCTCCAGTAGTGGCCATTGGATTGCATCATTCACTCCTGAACCAGGAGAGCATTCTTCTTAGGCATACTTCCTCAGAAAATATTCTGCCTTAATTTAGACTCAAGTCATGCAGAGCATACTACATGCTAGGTGTCCTCACTGATAAGGATTATGCACCCTATATTTGAATTGTAATTAATACACTTTGTTGTTGTTATTTGCAGTTTTTGCCAGCAATGATTTTCTGTTTTTCCCTTAATAAGAAATTTAAACAGCTTTGAGCCAGTAGTAAATACTTTGGTACCCATGAAAATTATGGAAGACAATTTATGAATGTTTTAAGGTTAAGCAGATAACCTGAGTTTAAAAATGTATGCTATTCGTAGTAAAACTGATTTTTTTTTTTTTTTAATTTAAATACTAGACAGATGTAATAGAGTGCCTTGCAGAGTTCTGAATACGTTACATTGATCCAGTCACCTTTATTGATCAAGATTTTAACATTGTTATTATTTCGGTTTGTTTGAGACCTGTTTTCCATAAAGAAGGAAAATTGAATGTCAGCAATTACAGTGCAATTCTTCAGTGATTTTTTTTGATTGTGCGATTGCCAGATTATCAGCACAGTGGTTTAACAGTTCAAGTAGGTTTTGGTTACCATAGCTCTTCAACTAGTTCTTGAGGTATTTTAAAGCATTTGCAATTTACAGTTCTGGAACTTTTCAATCATTCCATAATTTGTTGCAAATAAAAATTAATTATTCAGTTCTTCAGCCAATGATTTTGGTGCTTTTGAGACTACATTTTGTGTGAAGCCAAGAAAGTTACTTTTTGTTTTACCATCCCTCTACCGACTGATGAAATAAAAATTTTCAAACTGCGAACACTCATGTTCTGTCCCTCTTTCTCTCACTGCACATACGCACAATACGCTTTTCTGAAACACAGACAATTGGTAAAGACAATTGGTTTTGTTTTCAACTTTGGTGTTTTATACCTGTGCTATTTAGGTGCTATCTCAGAAAAAGAGATAGGGCAATGTGGAGATGATAAACCTTACTTCTCTGTAATGATTTAATGTAATCTTAGCAGAAATAGTTCATTGGTGTTTGTCATGTTGAAATTGCCACATGGCATAGCTGCCACTGGGCATATCATGAACTCCTTGATAGCACTTGTCTTTAGTTACATTTTAGTTGCCTCTTTTTTCCCCTCTTTTCTTTCAAGAGTATCATCCTTCTAGCATAATGTTATTATCAAAACTAACCATGATGCCATTGTATTAAGATCAATTCCTCCTGGAAAAAAAAAAGGAAACTTGAATGTTTAAAAGCATGAAGGCAATCTTGTGTAGAAGTGTGGGGTTAAGGGAAGAAAGTTAAGCCTGGAGGATTGTAAATGAGATGGGTGTGTACAGGCATGTGTACAGGAATCTTGATCAGCTCCTGGCTGCTGAAGTCAGGGTGGCTTCCTGAGCCAGTTGGTGTGATCGATGTGGTGTCGTATCGCCCCTTCACTGCTGCTCCTTTCTCCAGGTCCCATGTGAGCCTTGCTATTTAGCTTCAGCTGTTCCTGCTAGTAAGCTGCTAAAATCAGCTAGCCAGGGAACACAGCATGTCCTCTGCCACATGATCTGTTTGTTACCACACGTCAATCCCCCTCAAAGCTGGAGAAACAAAAAATTCCATTAAATGTAGGTATTTCCGAATCAATTTTTTCTGGGACTCTTTTGAAATTATATTAATTTTACACTTCAAATTTAAAAAGCTCCATTATGTATAATTTTTCCAAATACTTAATAAAACACAGTTACATGAGTTCCCTTCAAGAGACCATTTCACATAAACTCTAATGATCTCAAATAGGAAAATTGCATACTGTATAATATCATAAAATACGTCACCTCCTCAAATTATTTTTTCATTGGACATATGAGGCAAGAATTAAACCTGCAACATATATTTATTTCAGCTTTGAAACTCTACAGAATGTATTGAAATATTGAGGGACAGTCATTTGATAAAACAGTAAAGATATGTAACATTTCCAAAAATTTGTGTAGATTTAAAATTCTTCTTCAGAGGCATGTAATGCAAGAAATAAAATATGATTATTTAAAGTGGGTATATAAATTCTTCCAGAATAACATTACTGTTATTTAAAGCAACCTGTACATACTAGATTTTTAAAGGTAGATTTTATATTATCAAGTAGAAATCTCCCAATTTAAAAATCCTGGGCTTATAATCTTTATGTATTTTATCTTCCCTAAATACTTTATTACAACTTAACATACAATACAAAAATGTATCAGAGGCAATTTTTAACTAATATATTTATTATCTTATAGCACTAGAAGGGAGACACTGATTTAAAACAGTAGCAGAAACAATTAAGACGATGTATAGGAATTACATTGGAAAGAAAGATACTATTATAATCTGCCATATTTTATAGTTTTTAAGAAGTGTTTTGATTTGTATTTGTTACTAACAATCTTTAGTTCAGGTGCATAGAAAAACACTTTTGGGATAAAAAATGGTTAATTTCCTTGGACTTTCTCAAGATGTAATTTTTATTACCATAAATTATAATTGGATGGCTGACACCTGGAGTGGAAGTTTTACTTCGTATTTTATTAGTTTTGAACTGAGGAAATACTCATACGCGTCTGGCAGTCTGTTTTATAAAGCTAATGCCCCAGCTAATATAACACCTGGTATCTATTTGTTTTAGGTGTAATTTCATTTGTTGCTGAAGATGAAGACCAACAGCAGTCTCAACATAACAGCTCACTAGAGAAGACAGATGGAGAACAGGCCCTTCAGAAATTGTCAACAGAGACACCACAAACTGTTGATGCAGCACACACTGGTATGTTTGTTATTATGGATAAGTTTGTTGTCTGTTTGTATAAACTTCTAATTTATTTTAAAATTAAATGTGTATTTAGTATGCCAGGCCACATGCCTGCAAACAGTGTTAACTCAAATGTTTCTTCCAGGCATATATGAATTCACTCCTTTTATGATTTTTGAAAAGTTTTAATGAAATTTTAAGCTGAACTTGTTTTGTTTTGGTTTTTTTTCCCTCTCTTTTCTGCAACGATGTCACTGAATGTCACTTGTTGTTGGAGAGGGGCAGCATTGGTTAAATACTTTCTTTAAAAGTATCCAGTAATAGTAAAGGTGATGATGTTCAAGAAGAGTATCTGAAATTCACATTACTCCATTTCACTGTAGAAAAACTTTTTTTTTAACTGTCAGTCCTAGATGTTCCTTTGGTCAGTTACCGTAAAATAGAAATGAGAAAATTCCAGACATCCAGGTTACTTTCAGATTATGACCTCCTAGTATATTCTAAACAGTTTCTGCATTATTTTTGAAATTTGAAGTGTTCAAAAGGAACACGTTTGTGATTACAAATGTGCACACCAAATAGAGGTTGTTTTTTGTTTGTTATTAAACAAATTTCTCCATTTTCTTCTTTATATTTGCAAGTAAAGAACTATAGAACTGTGTTTTTTATGCTTTTAGTACCTAATTTGGAATGTATTTAGATTATCAAACATTATGTTAGATGGCTAAAGCATATTTCTTGCAAGGAAAGATATCAACGAAAGTTCTTTTTAACCTGAAAACAAAGTTGGTTTAATCAACATTGAGCTTTTAGGAAATTGAGAAGAGCTTGCAATTGGGAGTTCTCTTTGTCTTCTTTATTGTTGTATTTTCACTTTAACAGAATTTATCTAGTTTTAAAAAGAATTAAAAGATAATTTTATTATTAATAAGTAATAAATAATTTGAGTTAATCCAAAGTGAATATTAGAAAGTCTGTTCTTTTATAGTCCATTAATATCTGTAATTAATCATATGTAGAGACTCAGAGATTAGTATTCCATCTCTAACATGAAGTGATCCCAGGAGTTTAAAATCTGTATAGACCAGACAGAAAAAGGCAGAAGCTCAGAGAAGTGAAGCAACTCTCCTCGAACATACCAGTAGCTTGGTTTTGGGGAGTGTTAAATGAAACCGTTTTTTTCCTCTCAAAACAGAGCCCTGTATAAATATATATAAGGCATATACATGTGTCTCTAATCTACCAGATTTGTTACCATATTCTTTGGCTAAATATTTTATGTGAATTTTGGAACACTTTTTTACATAGTCACGCTCCTGGTGTACTTCACTTTGTAGTGTGCAGTCCACTTCTTTTTAACAGCTATATTTAAAATTAATGAAAGGTAATAAAATGTTTTCTGTGATATTTTAGATCCTATAGAAAATCAGATATTCTAAAATGTTATTTTTGTGCAAACAGTTGATAATACAATGTGAGTTTAAAAAAGAAAAGGAAAAGAAGTGGAAGAGAATAATGTAATACGACATGGCAAAATGCTGTTTTCAAGAAAATGAGATGACCAAAGAGCTAAGGTTTCCCCATAGTGCTTATGATACAAAGATGACTTACAACAGTGGTAAAATTATAACAAAAAACCAAGTCAGTGCTTGACAAATTGAGGAATGGGGTTGAGAAAAAGTCTAGAATTATTAAATAGAGGATTTTTGAAGCCAAAGGAAAAAAATGTAAAGTAAATCCAAAAAGAAATAAGGAGTTTTGTTAGGGCTGTACAGAGTCAGTTCTCTTGTCCAGTATGTTTAAGGGGAACACTAGTAATGTTGAACAGCACTGGTTTTTAAATTCTGGCATGAAGAGAATTAGAAATAGGAGAAAGTCCCTAGAAGGCAGTTATAAAAAAAGGAAATAATCAGTATTTAGCTTGCACTGCTTTTTAAGGTTCAAGAATATATCCTCGCATTCTCCTCCTACAGCCAGATTTTTAATTTAAATTTTCATGTGAAGCAACATGGAAATTGGTTGACATTAAAACCCACACATTGCATCGTTGTAAGTTTACAGAAGAAAGATTTTAATAAAGATTAAATTAAGGTGATATATGCAGACAGTGCATTAGAGATGAGAACTACTGGATTTCATGATATTAGGAGGAATTAATCATAAAAGAAATATCAAGAGTGATGCCAAGTACAGGGAAGTATTGGAGATAATCTTTAAATCTCTACTGAAAGCCTGCAAATATTTGTGAATTTAATTATGCTTCTGTTATCAAAACCAAACACTTCTGCTTATGAGATATTTAGGCTTTGCAAAGTTAGGAATCATAGGTCCAAAAATAGTAGAGGCTGAAATTGAAAACAACTGAAAATAGAAGGTTACGTGACAAAATAAAAGGTTAAGTGAGTGAATTTCTCAATACTGTTCCTATCAATTATGTGAACTGAGGGTATTGTTCTTGGGTGGAAAATCCAATAAAAGTTCACTGTTTGGTATTGTTACTCCTGATAAGCCTTTTTTCAGTTTGCATCCCCTTTAAGAATATGAGACTGGCTGATCTGCTTATGCATTTGGAGTATGTTTTTCAAATATGCTGGTATGTGATTAGTCTAATAACCTGCTGAGAGAGGCCAGGTAATCGGCTTCCCACTGGTAATTGGAGCAATCTGCACAATTCATTCATATATGGCTGCGTCAAGTTTCTGCCTCTTATCTTTCAGTTACCATCTTTTGCTGGTTTTGTGCTACTGTAGAGTTTTATCTTTGACTTATTGTAATCTCTGTGTTTCTAGTAAATTGTACTCACTCAAGTCTGCTAGCAATGTCTAGGGCATCATTAGGATTGTTTTCTGAAGTGGACTTAAAGTAGGACATGAAATGTCTCTTCTCTAATATGGTATTGCTTAACAGTAAGGTATTTTTTGTCTTCAGTATGGAAGATACACTCCTACAATGTTCATATCCTAGAAACAGCAAGCTTCCATCTTACCTTTTAAATCAACCAACTGCTTCTAGTCATTTCACAAAACATTATCTTCCATCACAACTATTAATTTGTACTATAATTTTGTACTATAACCTATAATTTTTACAACTGGAGAAAATATCTGCTGAAAATGGCTAGACAGAGATGGAAGGTAACAAGGTGTGAGCTAATTTATAAGCTAGTAGGAGTCATCTTCTGAACTTACTTCACAGAGGCAATGACAGAGTCTTAGCTTTATCCTACAGTTTTCTTTTACACCTGTATTTTTACCGTAGTTTTTCCATCCAAATTAATTATTCTGTGTTTTTTCAGTGTAGAATGACTGCTGGATATTTCCAATATTAGGATTACTTAACCGCAGGGTTCATGCCACTGGTAAGAGTACAAACCAGTTGCCTTTGACCAGAGGCATCACGCACTGAAGAAGTGCATCTCTGAGCTGAGTGTCCCCAGTGCTACTGTTACTAACGTGGGGTAACAGAAAATAGTGGACTACTGATGTAGAGAAAAATAATATACAGACTTGATTTGGTAAAGGCCAAAACAAGTGTGAGGTTTTCCATAGCTGACTAAGGTTAGAAAAAAATCTCTAATGATAAACACAGTTACACCAAACATATCTGCCTTGCTGTCACTCAGTGAAAATGAATATTTTTAAAACATACTAGAAACTGCTACCTTGTTATGCACAACATTCATTATCATCTTCAGACACACATATATGGATCATGTAAATATGAGTATATATTTACCTTTTTTTTCTTCTCTGAATTGCATTATAGGTATGACTGTAGAAGATTATAATTTCTAGAATGGTTTTCATATATGCTTTTCATAATTCCTAAAAACATCACTCATTATGGTCTTCCAAAAAGCTAATGATTCTGAAATTTCCTAATAACTTCATTTTTTTAACATGTAGTTAGAAAAAGCGCATTTAGTGCTTGCAGTGAAAATCATTGATACGGCAATCTTTATAACAAATCCTTTTTAAACTGCTTTATACCAAGGCAAAAAGAAAACAGAGCAAAACCCAAACAGAAAAATGTCTGCAGTGCAGATATAGTGACAGGGGCTTGCCTTTTTCTAAAGTGACATGGGTTTTCAGTTCTTTCCAAAGCATATTTCTGTCTTTCAAGTGAAGAGGTCCTAGGATTTCTCTCTCATGGGAGCCAGAAGTAAACAGAGGTTAAGTGGTCGTAAGACTGAAGTAGGATGCAGCTGGCCTTGCATATAGGATTTATCTTTAGATATTCCTATACAATAAACTGCTTAAATGATAAATAAATATTAGTCATTAATAAATATTTGTTTCACAGTCTGTCTAAATGCTGTGAAGCCTCCTATACTTGTCAAAATTTCCTGTCAACGTAGAGGAAATTTTTCAGCTCTGCTATGGATTCTGTCTTAACTTCTTAATCTGAACTGCCCTTGGACAATTGCCCATGCGTTGCACTCCTTGCTGTGTAGCGTGTGAGCACTAGGGAGGATGCTTGGCTCAGCTTCTGCTGGACCAGCTCAGCTGTCCTCAGGAATCTGATCCAGAAGATCCCCTGTAAGGAAGAGTGGAGTGTGAAGTTGGTGCAGTTGCTCCAATGACTAGGGCTTACACTGCAACTGCAAATCTCACCCCCCTCCTTAAGAATCCCTCCCTCCCTCTCTTCAGCAGTGAGCCTCAGCACAGAGCTGGCACTTAAGCAAGAGTTTTTAGTGTTCCTGCCATTGTTGATGTCTGACAGAGGCGAACACTACAGATGCAGAATGTTTGTTTTTACAACACAGGGGAATTTTGCATGTGCTGTTGTCTTATCCTGGCTGCCCTAAGCATTGCCTTTATCAAAAGATTATACTTCCCATTGTGTTCGTCTTATGGAATACATTTACATTTTGATGCCCTTTCCGAGTTTTTGAATTTCTTTGTACTTGAAAGGCATAACATCAAAAAGATCCACTACTTGTGAAAAAGCCATGATAAATAAGCATAGTCAAAGTGGTTAGGCCAGACAATCATTTTGGCAAAACCTGTTTGAAC